TGAATGCGAGAAACACATCTATGAAGTTGTTATATAAAATCCGCTGTCCTTTTATAATTCGTTGGTGGTATCGCTTCCATCGTTACACAAGCGTAGGCCACTTAGGGAGGCCAAATAATCCACCTGTTTTCTACCCTAAGACTTGCTGACCCTAAGCCTGTTCTCTCTGAAGCGCAGGCACTAATTTCGTTTCCGGCTATGCCCAGATGATGGCGGCACGGGTCGCGTCTCGACCGCCACACTACGCATGCGTGGCGAAAAATCTATTTTCCAGCAGCAAAATATTCGGTTTTGATAAAAAAAAAATATGAATGGCTTCTATTTAATCTGTATTTTAGATCTGTACCATCTAAAAAATAAAAAAAATTAATTTATACCCTTGTAGAATTTGAATTATACAATATTTTATGTGCAATTATAATATAGATAAATTTGACTGGAAAATCATTTAATTTTTGAAAAAATATACTATCAGCTTTTTCTTAATCTGTACCATTGGAAAACATTTATTTTATAATTTGTATATCTTCCCAAATTTAATTAGATAAGTAAATAAGCAATCTCATCTTTTAAACTATGTTCCTAAAGTTTCGCATCTATGTGAAGTTAATGTATTAATCTAATTTTTTAATTAATTTTTAAGGAAATAATCGATGCATTATCGTGTACATCAGAGATGAATCTTTTATTTCTACCACAGATGCATACATCATTAGGCGGAATTTCTTTTAACTTGATTTATACCAAACACGTGTTGATAATTGTCACATTTTGTTTTATGTTTGACGAGATAAACCTTTCTTCTTTCTCTATTAAGCTTTTTTATTTATAAATAGATGTCGTTTTTTTAAATCGTGAATGATTGAATGTATTGAGGATAGCAGTGCATGCGCAACAATTATAACAATCACATAACACTTCGATACGCCTGAGTTTCGCAACCATCTACACGTATTTTTTTGTTTTTGAGTTAGAATAATCTATCGTTAGATATGATGACTTAATTATTTCTCGAATGGAGCCGAACTCGACAATGCCGATAAGGGATAACATAAAGAGAGGGAAGTGACGAAAGCACGTGATGGTTTCGGTAAACATCGTTTATTAGAAGAACACAGTCTGTACTTGCAAACATTACGGAATAGGTTCTTCTAGATGGTACAGATTAAGAATAAGCCATTCATAACTTTTTTTTTCTTCAAATCGAATATTTTCCTCCTTTAAGATTTCCTCCTATAAGACTTACAGCTGCGCAAAATATACGTAATTTAAATTGTCGAACTACCCTATGAAAATCGTTTTTTTCTCAATTTTTAGGAGGAGGATAAAAATTAAAAAGTTGTCATTTTCAGATAATATAAATTAAAAGAAAGCTAACTACGTAATTTTGATCAATAAAATTCTAATATTTTTGGGTCTGTAGTATGAGTTTTCCAAGATATCGTTATTCCGCTTTTTCTGTATATTTTGGGGCAGGAGGGAGGGGGGGGGATAAAAGTTACAAAATAACATTTTAGTGGTATAATTACAAAATAATTGTTTTCAGATGGAACAGATTACGGCAAAGCTGGTGGTATACTTTTTTTGTATTATATTCTTTATTTCCCTATCAGACTTATTATTTTATCATCCGAATAAACGGCTGTTTTTATGGATGCGGGAAAGTTTAAGAACACACGTTAAGTTACTGCTTTGTTTATTTATTGGTCTAATTAAATTTTAGGGTGTAAAAATTACAATAAAACTATTTACTGATGGTAGAAATCAAGGCAATATTTTTTGTTCTATAGTCTAGTTATATACCTTTTTTGAGGGAATAAGCGATTTTCTTGTTAAGTTTATCTATATTATAATTGCATAAAAAACATTATATTATTAAAATATTACATGGATACAAATTAATTTTATTGTTTTTTTTAGATGGTACAAATTTAGAAAAAATTATTCATAATTTTTTTTTGTCAAATTGAATATTTTTTTGCTAGAAGCAGCCTGTTCGCAAGTAAGTTTAACTTTTTGAGAAAAATATGGTGGGTAAGGAAGAAGGGGAGATTTCATTAATTAGTACCAAGATCATATAAAATGTAACACGTAGATATGAGTATTTAGAATTGTGTACCTGGTAAATCGCCAATGGTCTATTTTAAAAAATTTTTAAATTATATCGATAATAACAATTGATAATTATTAAAAGGAATAGCTGATCTAGTCTACGTCTCAAAGCGAGTATTTGTGATCGAGATAATTTTAGCTGAAGAATAATTTATTTCATAAAAAAAATATACCATTAGCTTCGTCTTAAGTTATACCATCCGATAATTGTATTTACGTATGTAACTTGTACCCTCCAGAAAATACAGAAAAACGATTTTTGTAGGCTAGTTCAGTAATTTAAATTAACTTATTAAGATAGATAGAGTTCTTAATAAGTTAATTTAACTAAAAATGAAAAGGATTGTTTTCAAAATGGCGTCCGAAAAAAACAATTTTTTGAAAACCTTCAACACGCTGTAGCTTAAAAGCTAAGATCTATTTAAAAAAAAGTTAAAAAAAAAAGTTCTTATAATACATCAAAGAGTACACAAGAATTTTACATGGAATTTTATCTAATTTTTTTGATAATAGTTATAAAAATTTGTTATGTAAACTTTTTACAAAATTTAAAAAATTTACAAAGAATTCTGAAAAAATTCCTGCATATTTTCTCATGCATTCTAACAACTTTTTGTTCCTTATAATTTTGCCTAAAAGTTGATTCTTTTTTAAAACACGTCAAATATCATTTATACAAGTTAGTTTAAATCATGGATTATTATTTGAAAATTATTTGAAGTATAGTTGTCATTGTGCACTAGAACCCTATCTACCAAAGCTTGAAATTTTCATCAAACTTTAGTGTATAGTTTGAACATTTTTCATTTTAGTTTGACCAACAGTAAAATCATTCACTTGGAATGGTTTGATTTTCGCCATACGCAACAATTTCTCTCTCAGTTAAAAAAAATTTGTTATTTTTCCCTGATACTTCTTCATTTCATTCGGGATAATTTTCTTTTTTTTTTTGCTACATTTGACATCTTTTACAGAATAATATTTAAAAATTTTATCAAGGAAAAATAATGAATTCTTTTCAACTTTGAAAGACACTGTTACATATGGCGAAAAATGAAATTATTCCAGGTGAATTTTACTGTCGAAAAACTAAAATAAAATAATTTCAAACTATAATAAAGCGTAATGAAAATTTCAAGATTCGAACAATTTGCCCTTTTCGGACGCCATTTTGAAATCCGGCCTGTTGAAGTTTTCTTCCCGTACCCCACCTATTTTTAAGTTTATAACTAGATGACTCTTTTCTATTCATAAATAAATGTGTATATTACCGATTTCATACAAAAAATTAGATCTAAAATATTTCACAATTCAAGATGACGGATCTATAATGGTGGAAGCCAAAACGTTACTTTATGAAAATATTGATGAAAATATTTAGTAGGGGGTTTTTAGGGTCCGTGATTACAAATCTGACTACGGATTTCTAAAATTTAAGACGGAGAATTCAATATAAAGGACACCAAAACCTTACTTTATGGGAATATTGATGAAAATATTTAGTAGAGGGTTTCTGAATTCACTCATTGCGAATCTGAAATCAGATTGTCAAGATTCAAAGTAGCGGATTTAAGATTGCGGATACTGCAAGATTATTTCACAAGAACATTCAAGAGATTTTTTACTGATGGATTTTTGAGATTACTTATAAAACATCTCGTTAAAGTTAGATTTATTTTAATTAATCTATATTATGATTTAATTGAACAGTTACAAAGAAGTTGAACAGATTTGAAAATTTTGAGTTTTATGACAATATATTTATAATCAGCCACCATCTAAAGCCGTGAGTAAAGATTTTCAGGAATATTTCCATAGAGTGACATTTTGTCGTTTGCCATCTTGAATTTCCAAAATTTAACATCAGATTTGTAATCAACTATCCCTAAAATTCGTCGAAATTTTCCATTTATATTCTATTATAGTAATATTTGAACTTCCGCCGTCTTTTATCCGCCATCTTGTATTTTTTAAATCTGACGTCAGATTTGTAATCATCGATCCTGAAAACCCTGAAAATTGAAAACGTCTCTTCTATTTTCTACTGAAAATTTTCATTAATATTTTTTAAAAATAAAATTTTAGCTTTCGCTATATTGGATCCGCCATAATTGAATTTTGATAATCTGCCATCGAATTTCTAATCAACGACCATGAAAATATAATCTTACAAAATTTTAAGTTATTATCTTGAATAAAATTCTCAAAAAAGTCATTTTTTTCAATTCGTATTTATTTATAATCCTTAAATGATAAACATTTATGCTTATTTTACTGTATTTCTATGATATTTGTTGATTGAAGAAACTAATAATAGCAAAAAACTAGGTCTAAATATTTTAAAAAGTATATAAATAGCTAAAGGGAGAAAAAAATCGAGGTGTTACTGTGGGTCACCAGCATGGTTCAAAGGGTTAATAGGTCAAGAGTCTAACGTTTTCACTAATTCGAAAAATATAGCCTGTAACTAAGGAAATATTGAATGTTAAGATGAGTGGACCCTTATGAATTAAAAAAACTTTTGTAAAGTTGTAGGTAAATCATGAAACTTGAAGATAATATATTCACCTTATGAGTTTTATTACACTTTTGTTTGAACATAAATCAATGAGTGTCAAATGCAGAAGTGTTACTGATTGGACATAGCTGACTTTCATTTCTCAGTTGCATGTTTGATTTAATAATTCAAATATTGTCGCAGATTTATTGTGGAAACGGATGTAAATTAATTGGTTATTAAGATAATGTAATTGTTTACAGATTGTAAACAATAAATTTGACATTAGACTATGTTATTTAAACAATATGAAAGATGCAAAAGCATAGGAATAATATATTTGTAATTGGTTGAAAAATTAACAAGTAACAGGTCGTTCCTACTTTTTTAGGAAAGCAATACTGATCAGCCTGTTGAGTTTTCAAGTATGGAATTGAACTCGTTGGAGGATACCCCGACAGTATTAAATTTACCTATTGAAAATCAGGGGACATCTTCTCATGTTAATGACACTAATAGTACCACCAATAATACAAACGTTTCCAATGCTGTAGAAAATACGGAAGAGCCGTTTGATACCCTTGATACATTTTTAAGAGAACTTCAGGCAGATTTGGCTTCAGCCAATCAGAATCAAGTATCTCCAACAAGCACAAGTGTTAACAATTTTAAGCGGCAAAGGTGCAATATTGCTGCAGCGAACCCCCTACTCGCTGGTATGTATAAATATTATTATTTATTATTATTTCGTTTCCTCACGAATAAAATTTTGATAACTAACAATCAGCAAAGTTCATAGTCTGGACGTTTAAAGGTTAAGCATCTACTTTACAGCACCTTCAGTATTTTTTTTTTTTTTTGATGATGTTTATTTTTGTCACTAAGTCAAACAGTTATTGATTAATTTAATTAATTAAAAATTTTATTGTAAAAGTAACTATTTCTTACTTTTTTTGTCACATATTATCAATATTAGACAAATCTGAAATCTACTAATCGATTTTACAGAGAAAATAAAATTATCGTCATTATTCAATGTTAATCATGTTTGTTTCCAATTGCATTTAAATTTTAGGAAGTAGTGAAATATATCTTAAAATAGCATGGGCGCTATTTTGCTTCAAATATATTATATGAATTCAATAAATATTTATTAAATATTAACAGCATAATCTTAAAAAAATCAAATATCGAAGCATTATTTGTATGTGAAAACTTGTTACATACTTTATATCAGCTTTTAATAACTTTTACTATCGAACTTCTCATCTGTAGTCAAAATGAAAAGATTTTTAGTAAGTTTTTTTATTATCCGCACACATATATCAATGATCATATACGAATAGAAATTAGTTATAGATTGACTACAAAAAAATATTGATGTATGTAATAATTATATATGTACACGCACGCAAAGAGTATTTTTTCTTTTTGTATTTCAAAAAAAAAATTTATTCAGTATTTGCCGAAAAATTAATATCAAAATTTGTAGATATTCAATTCAAAACTAAAGTTTTACACGGAATTTACAACTTTCCGTGATTTAAATTAATATCTTTGAGGACCTAATTTTATTGAAGTATAGGCAGGCAATTTCTTGGAAAATAGTGCTTTGTTTTTCTATTCCTGTTTGAAGTAGTGACTACTTATTAACCCATTAACGTCCAAAATGTCAAAATTTCTTGCACGTTTTCAAAGTGATTTTTTCCTATGTAATTGGCGTTGAAAAAATTCTTGAACCACATATTCTGATGTAAAATTGCATGCTCTTTCAGAATCCGTTGCCAGAATCATAATAAAACTCAAAGGAAAAGAGATATGCTCGATTGAAACATAAAAAACACCTAAATTTTCGAAAAAAAAAATTTTTAGGATTTTTTTTCAAAGTGTTACAGTGAAGATATCACCTTGCGACCGTGATCAAAGGTGATCATGGGATTTGAAGTTTAACAGGGAATTTTTTTGTTTACCTTGAACCATCGCTTCTTTACAAAATGGCGGAAAAAACGAATTTTTTTTTTTTCAATCTTTATCAACTTTTTTCTCAAAATCTATGGTCTTTAGAAAAAAATTCATAAAAACAAAAATGCCTTAGAATCGCTCGAGGAACATTCTCAAATTTTTTCAGAATTTTTTGAGACAATTTTTGATTTTTCGGAAAACTTGGGAAATGGAATTTTCAAAAATGTCTCCAAAAATTCTGAAAAAATTTTAGGATGTTTCTCGAGTGATTCTAAGACATTTTTGTTCTTATGAATTTTTTTCTAAAGTCCATAGATTTCGAGAAAAAAATTGATAAAGTTGAAAAAATAAAAATTCGTTTCCGCCGCTATGTTCACTTTATCAATTTTTTCTCGAAATCTATGGACTTTAGAAAAAAATTCATAAGAACAAAAATATCTTAGAATCACTCGAGAAACATCCTAAAATTTTTTCAGAATTTTTGGAGACATTTTTGAAAATTCCATTTCCCAAGTTTTCCGAAAAATCAAAAATTGTCTCAAAAAATTCTGAAAAAATTTGAGAATGTTCCTCGAGCGATTCTAAGGCATTTTTGTTTTTATGAATTTTTTTCTAAAGACCATAGATTTTGAGAAAAAAGTTGATAAAGATTGAAAAAAAAAAAATTCGTTTTTTCCGCCATTTTGTAAAGAAGCGATGGTTCAAGGTAAACAAAAAAATTTCCTGTTAAACTTCAAATCCCATGATCACCTTTGATCACGGTTGCAAGGTGATATCTTCACCGTAACACTTCGAAAAAAAATCCTAAAAATTTTTTTTTTCGAAAATTTAGGTGTTTTTTATGTTTCAATCGAGCATATCTCTTTTCCTGTGAGTTTTATCATGATTCTGGCAACGGATTCTGAAAGAGCATGCAATTTTACATCAGAATATGTGGTTCAAGAATTTTTTCAACGCCAATTACATAGGAAAAAATCACTTTGAAAACGTGCAAGAAATTTTGACATTTTGGACGTTAATGGGTTAATGCATAAGAGAAAGCAGTGTTAATAGAATACAAATAGTTTAAGCGTATTGGAAGTAATTTAAATTATGACATCAATTATATTTCAAAAACATAAACAGTGAATAATTTTAATCTGACTGTCAAAATGTCTTTATTACTCAAGAATTTACCCCATATGGTAAATACGAGAATCTAAAAAAATCCATCAATGTTTCGACAACAGTTTGACCTTGCGGGCGCTATTTTGAAATTTCTAATTGGTCAAAATGACTTCGTCACCTGATATCCTTTATAATCAGATATCGCGTTTGCGATCTAGTTCGGTTCGAAGTTGATTCCAAGCCGGTAACTTTTTAAAAACTACATTTGAAAAAAAAAATTTATCTTCGATAATACTGATTTTTTTGTTTTAAACAACACTTTTCGGTATTAAATGAAGTTTTTCAAGAATTTGCATGGTACCACTGGAAAAAGCACACTTAGAACTATAAGAATACACCTATTGCAATTGCTTTTGCCACGAAATGCAATAGCTGTGAGCGCGGATAGAGAGATATACAAAACGTGTTCGGCAGAACGTTAAGGTAGCTCATTAGTGAACTGAAAAATGGGAAATCGTAATGAAATGTTGTAAGGTCATTAATACAAATACGGAGAACCCTCCTGTAACATGTTAAAGCCCTGTTAACGTGCAAAATTTTAAAAACGAATCTTGTGATTATTACAAATATAACGTACCTCTTATGAGAGGCTGACCGGAAGTGAACTTTGATTTATTAATTACGCCGCAGAAAAACGGGAGATCATACTTTGATAATCAAACGAACTTACCTGTATGTGAAGTTCGATTCTAATTATATTACATCTAGTTCTCGATATTACTATGTAGTTCGGCTCTCAGCCGCGAGATGTCACAACTCTTCAGCACTACGTAAAAAATTGCTTTGGGCATGTATGTGCGCCCGTCCGTCCCCCCTCCTGCACAGCCGGACTACCATCTAAGCTTTATATCGTTTCTTTGTGCGCGGATGTCAACTTCTCTCCGTGATCGGCACAAGCATTTTTTCGTTTTTTACTCAAATTTTCGCCTATAAATAAAAAAAAAAAGAAAATGCCCAAGAGGAAGATTGGACCGGGCGATTATGAGAAATGGTTGGAATTTCAAGAGGAATTCAAGAGATTGAAATCCCAATTGGAAACACTTCCGCCATTGTTCGATCACAGTCTACATACCTCGAATGGTGAATCTTCTTCGTCGGAAAACCCACCTGCCTCATCTATCGGCTCGCTACCGGAGGATGAGATGATTGCAGATAAGAATGAGGGTCAAAGGACGCCATATTGGAGACGACATTAGACATTGATGTTGTTTGCTGTGATGCAGGGTTGCGCACCTTGGACGATGTCATGTCCATATATTACGTTTTAACATTTTGTTTATGGAAAAATGTTGCTTATCTACGCCTATTATCTCTGCCATAGGTGTACTCAAATAAGGAATGTAAACATCACCTCTTCTAATCATCGATATTAAATGATGTGTCAATAACGTTAGTTTGGCAGCATCGTTAAGCAATTAGACAATATTAAGCTTGTCACAATCCTCGTGCATTATAAACGTCAAAGCTGAACCAATGGCCATAAGCAAAGAACCAACAGTTTTTTGTAATTCAAAAAGTCTTTCATCCTTCTTAACAAGCCTTGTAGAGACTGAGGATTTAATTTCTGGGTTCAATTTCTTGGCGTCCAGGTCACGAATGATCTCATACGCTTGGAAAAGTTCATCCTTGGTGACTTTCTTAAGACCATTCTTAATTATCTTCTTCCAGGCAGCAATCAGCTGCTCATCGATGGATTTATGTTTAACAGCATCGGTAATAGCTTCGATGCCCAAAATCTCCAGTACATCTTGGTCCTTCTCTACCTTATCAACCCCGTCTTCAGCTTGTGGATCCTTGCCGTCTTGAAGAAAAACAAAGAAATTATTATAGATGGCGGCACCCATAATTATATAATGTTTATTGTTTAATGTATTAAACATAAACGTTAATTAAAATGCGTAGAGTCACAAAATAGCGATGTATCTCACCCAATGTGAGGTTATGTTAGCGATATACGTCGCTTCAGACATTTGGATATACGTCTCTTAAGATGTGTGTATATACGTCGTTTTAGACGTTGTTGTATATACGTCGTTTTAGACGTGTGTGTATATATCAGATGTAGGACTCGCTCAGGTAACGAAAAATATATAAAACGGGCGTCGCTTAAGACGCGTAAATAGCTACACAGACGTAGGTTAGTAAAAACAAGACTGATCAGGTTGCAATATTAGGGGAGGCGTCCTTTAAGACGCGCATATCGCCAAACAGGCGTAGATAAGCAACATTTTTCCATAAACAAAATGTTAAAACGTAATATATGGACATGACATCGTCCAAGGTGCGCAACCCTGCATCACAGCAAACAACATCAATGTCTAATGTCGTCTCCAATATGGCGTCCTTTGACCCTCATTCTTATCTGCAATCATCTCATCCTCCGGTAGCGAGCCGATAGATGAGGCAGGTGGGTTTTCCGACGAAGAAGATTCACCATTCGAGGTATGTAGACTGTGATCGAACAATGGCGGAAGTGTTTCCAATTGGGATTTCAATCTCTTGAATTCCTCTTGAAATTCCAACCATTTCTCATAATCGCCCGGTCCAATCTTCCTCTTGGGCATTTTCTTTTTTTTTTTATTTATAGGCGAAAATTTGAGTAAAAAACGAAAAAATGCTTGTGCCGATCACGGAGAGAAGTTGACATCCGCGCACAAAGAAACGATATAAAGCTTAGATGGTAGTCCGGCTGTGCAGGAGGGGGGACGGACGGGCGCACATACATGCCCAAAGCAATTTTTTACGTAGTGCTGAAGAGTTGTGACATCTCGCGGCTGAGAGCCGAACTACATAGTAATATCGAGAACTAGATGTAATATAATCATAAATTAACTGTGTAATGATTATTTCTTAAGGATTCGAATGATATTATAAAAGATAAGTATGATCTTAAATTTCGAAGAGATATTTAATGACAAAAGTGGCCTTATCGTCGATTTGCAAAACTAATTGTAAGATGTCTGTCGTACAAGCGTGCCGACAAACGTTCGAAGCGCGCGTAATTCAAAATTGCTTGAGTTATATAAAGTATCATATATTTACTATGAATAAGTATTTCATAAGAATTACTGCAAATCAACATGGTTTTAAACATTTTATTATATCAACTGCGTCAACTATAACAAACGATTAATAAAAATTATAGTCATTACAAAATAACAAATAAAATTTCAAACAACTAACCGTCGAAAACAATCAAACAGTTTGATAGTTGAAATGTTACGCTATTTGTTATGATCGACGATCGAAGCAGGGGCCTTATTTTGATATCGGTCATACGTACTTGGACGTTGCACAATACATTATACGTCGTCTTGTCCGTCACAAAACTAATTAACATTGATCAATTAATTTAAATAAATTAAATTAACAACAAAAATAGTGTTTATCATATCATAAATTATGATCACATTTGAATATAGAATAATAATAAATAAGCAGATTTTTTTATAAGTAATCAGCTTCTCTTGGTAATTACATTTAAGGCGGGCCGTATTACAAAAATTTAATGTTAACGAAAAACAAAAATTGTCTAGATAAGTTACTTATATATGGTACTAACTATGTATAAATATATAATTTTATGAGATGTAATAAATTTTTATTTTCATATAATTTCTAGTTCGTTAAAATTAAATTTCTGTGATGTAATACGTCTTAATTTGCATGTGCAAAAATAATTTGTTGGAAAACTGTTATTTAAAATGGATTATTTTTTATAATATTTTATTGTCACGACGTCGAACTAAATTTCATAACAATTTTCTACTTTCGACAAAACTACTTTAAAATATTTAAAACGAAATTCCATTTATTTTGAATACTTATATAAATAAATACTTACATATATAAATTTTAACAAACAACAGTAATTGTTTAAAAATGAAAATTCATTTACCAGTACACGTATTACAAACACTGATGATTTTATATTTACCTGTGTATAGAATAGATTTTATTACATTGTCCATATTATAAACATTGCTTCTATAAATTGAACTTGAAAATCAAGAAATATTTATTGTTTATACAAAATTATGTTATATAAATACAGTCATAGGGATTTAATAAAATTAAGAATTAATTATTTGATTATGATTGCTCATTTATTTTCTTTTATTTTAAGTTCATAAGAAAAATTACACGCATAATTGTTGATGTTGGAAAATTATTACTTTAAAGATATGGTAGAGTGGGCATTTGTGAAGAAAATAATTCATAATATGGACTATAATTAAACACCATAACATTAATTATAAGATTTCTTTTCAAACTTTTGTAATATAAATAGTTATGTTATAAAATTAATAATTATCGTAATATTATAGATATATAAATGAAATACTTTAAAAAATAAAAAATATAACTAAAAACACAGAGGCCTTATTATATCAGTCATACGCACTTGGACTTTGCACGGTACATTATGCGTCGTCGTGTCTATCACAAAACTAATTAACATTGATCAGTTACTCCATTGACAATATTGACATTCTCTTTGTGACGAACAGATCTGTGCTCAATATACTACGCAACGTCTAAATGCGCATGACCATCATCACAACAAGCCTCTAGTTGGCTTCAACGACTTTGTCAGCCGTCAGCTGCGCATGCGTAGTGAAACATACAATTAAATCAAGTTAATAACTACTATTACTATTATTTTATTATAAATTACGAACTAATTTTCAATCAGACTATTATCGAAAATTATAATTATAACTTATTGTGAATTTTCAGAATAAAGGTGATCATATTCAAACATTTTTTTTAAATATAATTTTGACTACGTAAATCATACGACAATTACTGATGAGCTACATCAATAGTTACACATTATTTGCAATAACAACATACAAAATGATACTCTTGGCCTACGTATATTCGTGCGCGTAATTTTCAACAATGTTAAATGGATTGTTTGCCCTACTCGTCTTTTTTCATATTGTCTAACAATATCCACCTACAAAAATAATTATTAGTAATAAAAGACATTAATGAAACAATATTTTGAGCGGCCCCCTTGTTCCAAACAAAGTTGGCCAAACTGCTCCAAGGATACAGATCGATTTCTAAATGCCACTAATAATATTAGAAGCTGTCAAACAAAAAAAATTAAAAACATGTCAACATGTCTATAGGTATACTCTACAACCTATTTACATTTATTTTGCCAAATCGTCAGTTTTACAAGATCAATCGATTTTTCCAATAATGCAAAATTGTTCAAAATATATTCCCACGGCGAATCCCATTTTCCGAATGAAAATCGACGCAAAATTTTCTCATACTATTTTACGTCACGAATATCGACGTGTTCGCACTCAATGATTTCATTCGTGAGTTATTACCGTGTTCGTGACGGACGTACCCATCTTACCCCAGCCTGCAAAGTGTAATAGACAGTGAAAATAAAAGATACCATTCGAAATATCTCTAATCAAACCCTCCAAAACTGCTCATTATTTTAATTGAACCCCTTCAGTTGTCCAAAAAAAAATTAAATCTATGATCATTTTTTCGTTTTTTGCAACTGCAATATCTTTAGTAATACTTAATATTTTTGCAAAGAAACCAGGCAGAAAAATTGAACCCTTGCTCGTTTTAATTGGACCCCTCTTACTTTTTCAAAATAACTAATATATATGTCAAAAACAACAATATAATTTTATTGTATGTTCTTTCCAAATAGATTATTGGGTTATTGGGTTATTTGGAAAGAACATACAATAAAATTATATTGTTGTTTTTGACATATATATTAGTTATTTTGAAAAAGTGAGAGGGGTCCAATTAAAACGAGCAAGGGTTCAATTTTTCTGCCTGGTTTCTTTGCAAAAATATTAAGTATTACTAAAGATATCGCAGTTGCAAAAAACGAAAAAATGATCATAGATTTAATTTTTTTTGGACAACTGAAGGGGTTCAATTAAAATAATGAGCAGTTTTGGAGGGTTTGATTAGAGATATTTCGAATGGTTGTTTTTTTCACTGTCTATTACACTTTGCCGGCGGGGGTAAGAGGGTAACGGACGTTTCATTCGTGAGCCATCAGTCAACCTATCACACAGGTCAATCTGGGGTGCTACCGATATAAATTTATCCGGTTGCGCAGAGGCTTTATACTGCAACTGCACACATTGCGCAACCGGATACATTTATATCGGTAGCACCCCTGCTCTAGTCTCGCTACATAGTAAAATTTACCGAGCAGATCTTTAGTATTCCGATTATAGCTGGAATTCATATAATTTTAGTAAATTTTATTATGTTTCACAGTAAAACTAATATTTGAATTTAATTTTGTTAGATAGTAATTTATCCTATAGTCAGAGTATATCCTACGATTACTATATACCATGGTAATTTTTACTACAAATTAGGGCAAATTCTCTCAGTGTATGTAGATAGTTTTATAAAAATGCACGATCAATTTTTTCTACGTGTATTTGTTAGCAAATCCAAAGCTCGTCACAAAAATTAGTAAGAAATTTTAGATAAAAATAAATACATTTATTTGTAGTAATATTTATATGAATATTGACATAATCAAGTATGTGCTGAAAAAAATTTTAAATAAAGTGGTTTAGCGATGGATATTTTTCTGTTTTCTAAATTCTGTTGTTCATATTGATTGGAAATTATGTCGAATATCTTTCTTTTTATATGTGTAAAAAGTCATGCAAGTATCTTTATAAAAATCATTGTAAAATTATTTGCAGACGATCATCTTCATAGACTTCTCTGTAAACCTCTCTACCTGATTCTTTCTCTAGATTGTATAAACTTTTTCAATAATTTAGATTACTGAATTCGCTTAAATTAAAAACATATGATAAATAACCACATTTTTTCTTCTCTGACATAATCAATAAATCATCAGAAAATTTTTAATTAAAATGAATAAATTACAGAATAAATTTCAATAAAAGTCAGATTTTTTCTATTATATCCTTTTATTAAAAAGATTATTATGAACAATGACGCCATGAGTTAATTAAGCTCCATTTTGATTGCAGAAAAATTGGCTACTCCTCATCAAGTTCCCTCTTCTTCAGACTCCTATGCGTCAAGATCTGGGGACTTTTCATCAGAAACCATTAAAGGTATAATTTCATGATTCTTGTCTGTTTGAATAGATGGGTGTAAAGTTTCTACATTTAAAATGATTTTGAATTCACTTCAATCTTACAAAAAGATGTAGTTCTTAGCTTCATGAGTTATTGATAGTTCTTGGTGTCTGAAACATCAATGAATTCGACAACACTATTTGCTAATGATTTTTTGTAGCAAAAATACTTTATAATTGGAAAATATAGATTTATCGAAAAATACAAAAAAATGTCTGAATTTGTAAAATATAACATTTTTGAAAAATTGATGATTAAACTTAAAAATGAAAACACTATTTTATTATTAGATATAACTTTATTTCAATTAAAATTAATAATTAAATTTAGTGTTGATTCACACTAAACTTAATAAATTAAATAAATTTTCTATGATTCTTTCTACAAATATCGAATTTTTCTAAAACTGTTATTAATTTGACGGCTAAGAAGTTACGATCTATTAATCAAATTAAATATATCATAATTTAATTAATTAAAGATTTTATTAAGAGAAAGAAAAATTTTACTAACCATTCTCAAAAAAAATTGAAAATTAACGGACTTTTAATTTCATTAAAAACATTCATTTAAAACTAAGTAAAAAATCAAAAAATAAAATTATTTAACTTATTCTAGCTAAATGGATTATTCTATGATAAAATATATCTTACTCATAGATACTAATCTATATTTTTACGTTGTTTTTTAAGTTTTACGTAATAATGAAAAACAAATTTGGAAAAAACTGTCATATAGCTAATTTAGGGGATTGATGTCGTGAACATGATACGAGTAAACATGAAGTAGTTATAACAGAATTCAATATTCTAAACAATAAAATGTCAATAAGGCGAATAGGAATATATTAACCCTCTCTCATATATTTTTTCGATACTAAATGCAAAAAATAAGTTACATACATAGTGCAAAAATAGTACATTATCTAAAATGTGCGGGAAAGTACCTTTCTAGCATCTGACGTAGTGCCCATATAATCAATCAAATGAAAAATGATGTAATAAATCATATAATCAACAGAGATATAATTAGCTCAAAAATTGATTATACCAAGAATCACCTGAAGGATCATGTGATAAATCCTATTAAAAATTATGTGATAAGTCATAAGATCGGCATGGATTTAACCGTTCAGAAGTTGATAATGTCAAGAATTACATGATGAGTCATGTTATGAGTCACATGCACAGCATAGTTTGTAGAAATTAACTTTTACACAAAATTGTTCCAACCACATAGCTGAATTAAATATTTTAGTAGGCTACATAAATTTCACTTTACATTTTTTCCGAGTAATCATTTCTATCATTCTAGTAAAGTAAGTAAAATATACTTACAGAAACTAGAATCTGCTTAAACATTTTTTAATTTTCTATCAGCAATCAAGTATATACACGCAAATAAAATAATTGGATTGTGATTACAAACATAAGGCCTAGATCTGCCAGAGATAATATTAACAATAAGTGTAAAGTTACTATTAGTTTGCGGAGGTGATAAAATAAAATATTTAGGTATATAAATGTTCGTGATCCTTATTGTACATTATATGAAATCTCCTTTTCTCCGCTACACATCTTTCAAAAAAATATATTTAACATAACAGTTGACTACATGTAACTGCAAAAAATTATTTACAGATTCTATATTATTTTATTCAATGCTAATATGTTTATTTGTTTTATTTAACACAATGTTTTTTAAATTGAATACAAAGTATAAAATAATAATGATTAGAATCTAGGAATAATTAAATATTTCAAAGAATGATACGTTGAAATTTGCCTATGATGAACAGAATTATCAAACGTACTATTATATTGTATAAACTATTTGACGACAATTTATTTTAGATATTTTCTCCGCGGAAACTTAAAACGTGAGATAATATTTCATTTTTAAGAAAATGGTATTTTATTTTTTGCGTACAACAGAAAATTCTTAAGACAAAATTTAAAACGTGTAGAATTGGTATATCTACTAAATGAATCTTCCAGGCATGATTATAGCGACTATTTTCAAATCAATTTTTTTATCTGCAAGCAATATTTGAATTATGATCGCAGAGCTCCGATTTTGAATGAATGCTATTTGTAGAGGCAGACCTCAGGCCTTAGAGTGTAGTGTAGATAATGCGCAATTGAACGCTGTAGATTACATTGTATATTGATTTGTTCGTCTCAAAACTAATTAACATTGATTAGTTACTTCATTGTCATTGTCTTCGTAATGGACAGATTTGGGCACAATATACTGCGCAGTGTCCAAGTACTCATGAGCAACACCACAATAAGGCCTCTGTGTATGTCTTATGATATATATATTATGAAGTTAAAAATTGGAGCTTTATAGTGACAGTTCAAATAAAAATGTGTATGTTGCTCGCAGATACGAAACTGATCTTAAAACAGTTTCTTTGGTTACATATTGCAACCTATTCGCACATCATTCTTGCCATATGCCATATGTTTTTATCAAAATCAAGTTAGTTCAATACATAGAAAACATTGCAATTATTAAATATCTCCAGTCAATCAATTAAGTGCTCACTGGCTCGTAATAAAAATTAATTTTTATCAAGTGTCACGGTCGCGGCACATACGAGTAGGCATGAAATAGCAATGAAGCCTAGTTGCGCCTGATACTATACCCAACTGGAACTAAATATACAAATTTTTGTACAGAATATGTACGAAATTTGTATATGAATATGTGCAATACCTGTACAAATCTTGTGCAGTATTCATACAAAATGTATACAAGTTTGATACAAGTCTTACAGAAGTTTTGTACAATTTTTATACAATATTTACATGGAATTTGCACAAATTTTGTATTTAATAATCGACTTTTTCTTAAAAATTGAATAAATAAACAATACATGCATGTTATGGATAAAATAATGTGTACAGCTTCTATAGAATATAACTATATATGGAAATTGAAAAAATATAAAATAATATAACCGACCTGACCTAGATTTGAACTCGCGACCTTCATGTTACCAGACTTGTATTTTATTACTTTACTACTGATGACTCTTACGAAACTTATTAATTTTAATCTTTTTACACATTATCTGAAAATTATTCTATTATTTAATCATATTTGCTGATAATGGCGATGAATTTTAAACTAACAATATAGTTATGTAAAATTTTCTTTTTGTTCATTTTTATTTCTTGGTTAAATTTGAATTCATCGATATAACCAATAAAAATACAGTTCATCGAATACGATCGAATAATTTATAAATAATTTTTGCATGTAATATAAAATAAAAAATCGTATATATTGTGAAAGTTCAGAAAAATTCTCATGTCTTCTTTAGATAAGTATATGAATATTTTATTCTTACAATTAGATAATTTTGCTGTAACAGTATAGTTTTGGAAAAAAAAATTTTGATATACTTCTTTGATATTTGTTATTTTTTTCCTTGGAAACAATGCATATATAGGAAAAATTGTTAAGAACAAAATATTTTTATGATTGTCTAGAGAATACGTGAGAATTTTTTCGGATCATTTTGAGTATTTTTTAATTTTGCAATTTTAATTAACCAACAAAAATAAAAAATTTTCTTCAAATTATTTGACAACATTCTAGCGTATTCCTTATACGATTTTAAAAATTTCTGCTCTCTTGGTACTTTCTCCATAAGCTCATAGTTTTTGAGTAAAAAATTCATAAACATAACGAAAAAAATTAGGCATTCGAGACTTCATTTTGAACATTACCAGGTGAAAAACCGATCCGGAAATTATATATTCGTCAAATCTAAATACTTATTCCACTGGTTAGTGAGATTCCAATATCATTACACACGGAAAATTTTTTGAAAACTCGATTTCAAAAAAAAGTGTGAACAATTCGTATTTTTTTTTAAACGGCATTTTACTCGAATAATTAATTTATTTCAAAAATTTTGTGGGCATCATCGGATATAACATCTCTTAAACTTTTAGAAAATGACCTTCACAATTTTTTTTGACGCCAATAACATTAGTTATAAACGCTCAAAGACCGATGTATCGAGAGTGGCGTTTTCAGCCGAAATAGAAACTTACTTTAAAACTCTACAATATATTTTACTAAACGATTCATTATTCAATGATGGTCACTACATTTCAACGTTTTATTTACACAGACTTCACTATTTCTTCATTATTTTTATCAGTCATTAGGAAGTAGTGACACTTCAAACCTAGTGATTTATGTACTATTAAAATTGCAAACACCTTTATGAAAGTTTTCAAATCGAACCAAGTAAACATGTTACAAAAAAGCCGTTTAATTTAGTTTATATTTCGTGGTCAGGCTAATTTCCTATCTTCAAATGTCATGGTAGTTAGTCCGCAATTTTTTTTCTTTTTAAAATCAAATTAACTTAATTGATTTTGCAACATCTAATTAATAAAAAGTTTTTTATTATTTTATAATGAATAAAAAATTATTATATATATGGTATCAATAATTTGATTTTAAGTCTACATTACATGAAGGCACATCACCAATAGTCCGTACCAATGCGTTTATTTCACAGAGCTTACTATATATATGTTAGAGATGTTTTATAATTTTTGAATCTTGAGACTCTTGATGATGTATATGTGGCTGTACCCCATGATTGAGTGCTATATGCCCACACTGGTTTGTTTGTACATTTATAAATCTGTAATTTGTTGTCGATTAACAGTTTGGATTTTTTGCCTAGTAGTCAGTAGTATTTTCCAACTTTAGATTGAGCTATTTATGTTTAGTTCAAAATGTGGTCTCTCTACGTTAGTAGACAATCCAAGTGTATACCAAGGTATTTAACTTTATGTTCTCGTGGTATTAGTTGGTTGTTTACGTGCACTAGAGGACAAGTTTCTTTTTGTAATATGTAAGTTACCTTATTGGGTTGACTTAGTTTCATTAATTTTTATTCTCCATTTTATAAATCAGAATAGTACTTCAACTAGATATTTCTG